GGGGGGAAACCACCAAAGAGGAATTCAAACAAATAGCCAGCACGTGTAGACACAAAGTCAGAAAAGCTAAAGCACAAAATGAACTCAGGCTTGCTAGAGAGGTTAAAAGCAACAAAAAAGGCTTTTATGGGTATGTTCGTAGCAAAAGGAAGAACAAAGAAACCGTGGGGTCACTCAGAGGAGAAGATGGTGAGCCAATGCAATTCTGGGCCTCATCAATAGGAGTATAGCATCTAGATCAAGGGAAGTAATAGTGCCACTGTATTCTGCTCTGGTCAGACCTCACCTGGAGTACTGTGTCCAGTTCTGGGCACCACAGTTCAAGAAGGACACTGACAAACTGGAACGTGTCCAGAGGAGGGCAACCAAAATGGTCAAAGGCCTGGAAATGATGCCTTATGAGGAACGGCTAAGGGAGCTGGGCATGTTTAGCCTGGAGAAGAGGAGGTTAAGGGGTGATATGATAGCCATGTTCAAATATATAAAAGGATGTCACATAGAGGAGGGAGAAAGGCTGTTTTCTGCTGCTCCAGAGAAGCGGACACGGAGCAATGGATCCAAACTACAAGAAAGAAGATTCCACCTAAACATTAGGAAGAACTTCCTGACAGTAAGAGCTGTTCGACAGTGGAATTTGCTGCCAAGGAGTGTGGTGGAGTCTCCTTCTTTGGAGGTCTTTAAGCAGAGGCTTGACAACCATATGTCAGGAGTGCTCTGATGGTGTTTCCTGCTTGGCAGGGGGTTGGACTCGATGGCCCTTGTGGTCTCTTCCAACTCTATGATTCTATGATTCTATGATTCTATGATTCTATGATTCATTCAGACACATGTTCCAGTTTCTGGCAGATTGACGTAAACCATATGCAACCTCCACACGACGCCTTGCCCCTTGACCTCAAACCCTGGAGGAGGAAGCATGTATAACTCCTCCTGGAGGTCTGCGTTCAAGTAGGCAACACTTTACCTTTATCTTTAACCTTGACCTTGGTTGGAGGGGGAGTTTTAGCCTCACCTTCCGCTCCAGAAATAGGGTATCCCATTAAAGGGGTCTGTGATGCAGTTACTTCTGTCCATTTGCCCAGACAGGGGGCTTGGGCCTCCCTGAAGGGATACCCCTATTTGATGTAAGTCACAGGAATCCCTGCTGCTGGGTTGGCCCTGATGTGAATGAATACTTACCCAATGCCTATGCCAAACCACTTCACCTGTAGTCAATGAAATTGTGGCCTGATTCAATCCCATTCAACTGTGTGGTCTCCTTTATTGGTAGTTCACCTGAGCGGGGGGCGGGGGGGGCGGGGAGTGAGCAGCCTGGTCCTGAAATGACTCTTCTCCATCTGCTTTTGCCTCTGGTCCTGCTCCCCAGTGGCATGTGCATACCCTCCAAGTGTTCCTATTTTCCAAGGACAGTCCCAGATTTACAGAAGCCATCCCGGTTTATGATTTGACCCCATAATGTCCCACTTTTCCTTAGGATGTCTCTATTTTCATTGGAGAAATGTTGGAAGATAAGCAGTTATGTGACCCCTGAGCCAAAGAGATGGAGGCAACCCTGTATAGCACACATGGCCAAACTTGGCCCTCCAGCTGTTTTGGGACTACAAATCCCATCGTCCCTGACCACTGGTCCTGTTAGCTAGGGATGATGGGAGTTGTAGTCCCAAAACATCTAGAGGGCCAAGTTTGGCCATGCCTGTATAGGGAAGGTTATTTTAATGTTTAATGTTCTGTTATGTTTTAAGCCACACAGAGTGGCTGGGGCAACCCAGTCAGATGAGCGGGGTATAAATAATAAAGTGATTATTATCAGGGAATGGGGTGTCCCTATTTTCATCAGTGAAATGTTGGGGGTGGGGCATGCATGTGGCATCCAGAATGTCAGTCAGAAGGGAGTGTGGCCCTCAGCCTGAATAAAGGTTCCCCAACTCCTATCTATATATATATTCTTCAATTTCATTGTCATATACTTCATATATGTCCATGTCTCAGTTATGGCAATGCGTCCCTTAGGTCACAGCACAACTCCACTCCTTGTTTATTTATTTTTGACTTTTTGAAAATTAAATGTATATCCTACCCCTCCTCACAAAGGAACCCAGGATGGCAAAGTACAAGGGACAAAACAATTAAAAAAACCTCTTTAAAACAATTCCAATGCAGATGCAGGCTATAAAAGCCTTGTTGAAAGGGGAAGTGTTGGCACCTGCCCACTATTCAGGGGGAGGGAATTTCCCGAAACACTAAAGGCCTGATTCCTACCTAATGTTTGTTTTTCATTTCTCACTTCTAAATATTCTATTACATCAAAAGAAATACCTGGCAGGGAATACACCTTGATCATGAAATTTTAGTCAGCCAAGGGGCTGGATTGAAGCAGTCTAATTTCAGGCTTGCTGGCATTCATTCATAATTCAATCCTCTTTTTTTGCTTGTTTGTTGAAAGAACACACAAAAATCTGCCTTTAAATGGAATGCATTTTGTATACACTTCTTACCTAAAATATTTAACTTCCCCATAAAATAGACACTTTCCCCTGCTTTTCAGTGCATTTATCTGTAAACGGTGTCCTTTGTACAACTCTTTTATGTAAAATGCACATTTTTGCGAACTCCTTTTGCTCACTGAAACTGCAGTGTAAAATCTGGAGAAGAGAGTAATACTGTTGGGAGTTGCATTCTCACCTGCAAGCTGTTTTTTTTTTGGGGGGGGGGAGGTCAGGTTGCTCTGCTTCTCCTGCCTTCCAGCTTGGAGGTGCTACTGTGGGAGGGTTTACTGCATTGGATCATGTGCCTTGGCAGATGGAAGCTGTCTGGTTTCTAGATGTATGTCCAGCCCTTAATGTACACATTGTAAAAGGTAAGTAGGCGGGTGGATATTAGCTGCTTTAGTCTACGCATGTGCCTAGAGTGAGGGCCTGGTTGCTTTGTGTGATGTGAGATGCATTATTTGCTTTCTGTGCTTTCCAAATGGATACTCTCTACAGCAAGCATTTGTGAGTCAAGGACCCGCCACCCGCTTAGGGATAAATAAAACACAAGGACGTATTTAGGTCAATGGGCTAAAGAGGACCACAACTTTATTGGTTACAGCATGTAAGTGGTATTGGCTTAGGCATTGGATCAAACAAACACGGGGAGTCATCCAAAAGGTTAACAACCAGTTGGAGGAGCTTGTTGATGCAGATATAACTGGAAGCTTCCCCTGATGTCACCCGGGGGGGGGGTGTCATGGCCCTAGCCACCAGCAGGGCATCGGACAGGATCCACGACCGCTGGATTCCTTTAACGGAAAACCAACAAGGGGAGGGGTAGGTGATGGCCACAACCTGCCCTCCAACACACGACACATATTCCAGTGCCTAACCGCCAATGCCCAAAAAGTTGTGACGATTTGCTATGAGGTAGGCAAAAAACCAAGAGGCTGGTGCCAATTAGCCAAATGGATAAAAATTCCTACCAGGCCCCCTGGCAACCAAGACAACCAACCAAAGTCCAGAGCAAGGTCAAAAGCATAAATATGACCTAAAGGGAGGGTGGGCGGGTGATCCAACAACTCCAGGCAGCTGAATGAGGGCATGGTGTTGCCGAGACAAGACACCCACCAAGACAGCCCTATTGGTCGACTGACAGGCATGGCGCAGCAGCCAGGAATCTGATGCGGGGGGCAAATACACCCCCCCCCCGCTGACGCAGGAACCGGCTCCCACTCACAACTCCTCCCCTCATGAAGGAGTAGAGGCTATGCCAGATGCCAATCCCCACCAGGTTTATTCTCTGTGCCCATTCCCTTCCCTTCTGGGTACACATGAGCAGATGGCATTTCATCACCATGATGCAGCTGGGTATTGTGGGATTAGATTAGTGTGGAACGGGCTGAGAAGTGGGAATGTGTGCTTTAGAATCAACTGTGCTGCCCACTTTGTGTCAAATGGTGTCAACTGGCCCTGGTGATATATTTGAGCAAGAATGATCTGGGGCAGAAGATAGGACTGTCCTTGAATCACCAGGTGCAACAGGGCCTGGAAATGATACATCATCACACACACACACACACACACACACACACACAAGAGCACACCTGACTGTCAGGCTGCTGCCAGTGACTCCCAGCTGCTTGCCCAGGAATGTACAAAGACAATGGAATGTTTCTTACCATCTGCTTTTTATTCAGTATTTACAGAGAGAGGCTATAAAACCCAGCCTCTTGGATAATAGCGTTGTTCTAAGTGAATTCCACCCCCTCATCTCTCCCACTTCCTCATTCATCAATCGCATCATCTCTCCTATGGATGCATAAGTACCCTCTGTCCTTGAGCTCTTTGCTCTCCTACTTTCAAGACTCACCGGGTTCTGGGAGGGGGGCAGTCTGGAATGTTTTCTAAAGACACCGTATCCGTTAACTGCCCCCCTTGCTTCCTCCTCCTCCTCCTCCTCTCCCATTATTTCCCAACTTCTCCCCTCATCTTCCTTTGAGCTGTGACCTCCCTCAAACCCCTGTTGTAAATCTAAACTGTCTTCCTCTTGTCTCCTGCCTCCTTTCATCTGCATGATCTGAAATGCTAAAGAGGAGGATTTGGAAAGGGGTGAAGCACACTGAAAAGAATTTGGCAGGTTGGCGTACACAGTCTACTGGAATGTTGTGGGCTGGCACGAAAGCACGCACCCCACTTTAGAAATCTATGCAGTCATCCACTTCCCCACATGAATAGGATCCACTCTGTGGCATTCTCGTCACCCTGCCCCACAGCCCTCCTAGCATAAAAACACAATAATAGCCTTTCTGGATGAAACCAAAGGTCCATCTTAGTCCTGATTCCAGTCCTTGCAGCAGCCGGCTGGATACATGAACCAGGACCTGAGCACAAGAGCACTTACGATAACCAGCAGTTGTCATTCTGAGGCACCTGGATAAGGATAATTAATAGGCATAATAATATATTAGGATAATTAATAGGCATGGAGTGGATAAGAGAAGAGGACGGTTCCTGTTTCACACAGAGCCCTTTATAAAGGTGGGTTTCTGAGCTCCATACCTGACAAAATTCCATTAGGCAGTTAAAGAAGGACATCCCGTGTGCTTTGCACTGCCAAACACCCCACCAGAAGTCCTTGAAAGATTGTGGTAAGTCCTACCACCCTCCCCTATTTTAAAACAAGCTTGATTGAATCTCATATATAATTGTGTGAAACAGCAACATTCTACATGTAATAAAAACATTATAATCATATTATGCTTAATGTTGTATTACATAAAAAAACTATTTGTTTCATCCATATTCAGATGATATTTATATTTCATAAATTCAATAAGTGGACTCCACTTATCTTTAATATTTTCTCTTTGTGGTCTGCCTTCTTTCATCACGGCGACCTTCCAAATGTTTGTTAATTGCTATTCCACTGTTGGTGATCATCTGTTTTTCCATTTTTGCACAAAAAGTATGCAAGTTACTATTCCATTAATTCCTACAGCTTATTTGTGGGTCTGAATACCTTATAAAAATTGTCAGGGGTCCAGTGGCAAAGTGTAATGTGCTATGAATGACATTATCTCTGCTACCTCTCTCCAAAATAATTGTATTATTGGACAGATCCGCAAGCAAATATATTTCATGTACACATCTCCAACACTTTCCATCACAAACTGTTTAAATTTTCCTCAGTCTATGTGGAGACACATACCATTTCAGTTTGCAATGAGCCTTGCTGGTTCCAGAAATTGGTCTGCCTGCTATTTTTTCCCATTTTTAAACAAACCTATCCACCCAAGTCAGAAAAAAACCCAGAGCTCAGTGCTAGAGCACATCCTTAATCTGCAGAAAGTCCCACACTCAAGAATTCAAATCTCCAGTAAAAAGGATCAAACAGCAGATGATAGGAAATGAGTTTCTCTTCCAAAAACCCTGGAGAGCCATGGCATCTCAGAAGGGACAATACTGTGATAGGTAGAGTTGGTCTCATGAGCCTTTCTGAGGCACTCTGGGAGGAGCAACAGATTCATACTTAGCGACCTTCACCTGCAAATGTTTATTCAGTAGAAGCTGGTCCATTAAGACGAAGCTCACTTTGCCCTCAGCCACCTTCCAGCCTTCTTACACCCAGTTAGGAGATGTCTATTCCTGTATTTATCTCTGAACCCCACCTGCTGCTAGTTTCCCTTCCGTCCTTCCCACCAATCCCAATGAGCACCAGCAACCACTGGTTTTATTACTTGCTTCAAGAGTAAGTCTTCGTTACTGTCCATTCCTTAGTTCTACTAGGAAATGGCATGCATCATTCCTGCACCATGTCAATGCTTTTACAGCTTAAAAGGGGGGAATGGGCAACACCAGTTGGGCAGCCCTGATTCCATCACCTCGAAAGTATCTTGGCATGTTAGAAACTCCCATGAATTCCCCTTGGGAAGTTGTTACATGCTGATTCTCTGAATATTTGTGCAGATCCTTCAGCCCAGAAAATCTGTTTCATCGACGAGGGACATCTTGCATGAGGCTTGGACTGCGTGCATCCTTCACCATGAAGCCTCTCCTGGGACTCCTCTTCTGCTCTCTGCTTCTCACTACAGGTGAGGACTTGCTAGTGAATTTCCTTTGTACACCTCAGAGAGGAATTGTCCTGGGAGACTTAACAGTTTGGGACAAATTCAAAGCTGGAAGCCCTCATTTTCTCACATGAGGAAAAAATAAAGTATAACTTCCTCAAGCAGGGGTAGCTTGTCTTGACAAAGGCATGTATTGAACTGGAAGGACTCAAAGGCCATCTAAGGCAAGGGAGATCTTCCTGACCTCCTGCTCCATTCATATTTTGATCAGGAGCAATTGAAGGCCTGTTCCCCAGTGGGTAAAGTAAAATTCCAAGGGTATTCTCATTATCCACGCAGGTGGGATTTACTCTTATTCCCCAAACAAATAACACAGACATTTGAACATATTTCTCTTCCAGGTACCTCCTTGCAGTGTGAAGTTTGCAGTGCCATTGGGAAAACATGTTCCAGTGATAAAGTAGATTGCCCTGCTGGAGAAGATACCTGTGCCACTTATTTGTATGCACCTTCACGTGAGTGAGAATTATCATAACCCAGGCCAGATGAATGAATAAGCTCCATAGTTTAGCCTGGAAAAGAGGAGAATGAGAGGAAATATGATTGTTTGTTGTTGTTGTTTAGTCATTTAGTCGTGTCTGACTCTTTGTGACCCCATTGACCAGAGCACGCCAGGCACTCCTGTCTTCAGGAAATATGATAGCCATCTTCAGCTATCTTAAGGGCTGTCACATGGAGGAGGGAGCATGCTTGTTTTCTCCTGCTCTGGGGGGTAGGACTCAAACCAATGTCTTCAAGTTACAGGAAAGGAGATCCTGACTAAACATTCAGAAAAACTTTTTGACAGAGCTGTTCAGCAGTGGAGCAGACTCCCACAAGAGGTGGTGGACTCTCCTTCCTTGGAGATTTTTAAGCAGAGATTGGATGGCCATCTGTCATGGACGCTTTAGCTGAGATTCCTGCATTGCAGGGGATTGGACTAGAGCAGGCTTCCTCAAACTCAGCCCTCCAGATGTTTTTGGCTTACAACTCCCATGATCCCTAGCTAGCAGGACCAGTGGTCAGGGATGATGGGAACTGTCGTCTCAAAACATCTGAAGGGCTGAGTTTGAGGAAGCCTGGACTAGAGGACACTTGGGGTCCCTTCCAGCTCTAAGATTATATGATTCTAGTTGCACAAATCATACAAACATATGAAGCTCTCTTATATGGCACAGCCTGGAACTGTCTGCTCTGACTGAAAGCCCCTTCTTGAGGTCTCAGACAGCTTTCTTACCTAGCCCTACAGCCCGAGACCCTTTAAACAACAAGCCTTCAAAGCATGTGCTCAGGTGCAAAGTTGAGATCCTTCTTTGTGAATATGTCATGGAGGGAGAGCAGAGCATTCAGTCTGAACATGTGAAGGAGTATTGTGTGCCCTGCCCAAGTCCTCTGATGAGTGCTGGTCCAAAACGGGCTGCCACATTCATGGGTAAGGTTTCCAAGACATGAACAGGCACCTTGATGGACCAAGTCCCCAATCGACTAGTCAGGCAGCCTGCTTCAGACTAATGTCAATTCTGCTTTTGGCCAAGGAGTGCACCCAGTTTGCATAGTATCATTGAGCTGGAGGAGCTCAAACCACAAATTCCCATTTAATCTTTCAGACATTCAAAATGAACACTTGAACAGGGCTCCTGTGTGAGAGAGAGCACTAATTTGGGTTCCAAAGATTCAGCATTTTTTAAGGTTGCACCATCATTCTTGTTTGCCTTTTACCCTAAAATGCACATTTTTGTATAAATTTTGTACTGTTTTTGAGCTGAAAACTGCTGCAAAAAAACAACAACCCAAAGATCCATAGGTTCTGAGTTCCATATCAGCCCATAAAGTGACAATCGGGAATGACAACCTCCAGCATACCTAAATAGAAATTGGATGGGTGAATTTTCTTGAGATATAATGGCTGTGAACTGTGACAACCTATCACTCGTCTTTATTTTTCCTTTTGTTTTGTTGTATATCCAGCACCAAACATCAACATCACAACATTCAGGAAATTATGCCTTACGGAGGCAGGATGCAGAAATGCAACCGAAGACATAGGGAAGGTTTTTGAAAATGTGGGACTTCTTATAAAGGTTGAATGTAACAAGGCCTCTGAGGCAGCTCCATTCGTCTTCCTGACACTCTCTTGGCTCCTGTTGATGAAGATCCTCCTTTAATGAACCACATGCAGTGAATTGGCACTGAAGAAGAGTTTCATTCTTATATCCATGCAACCTTCCCTGGACCTGACCATGTGTCTGTCCAGAGGAAATTGTTGTTTTATATTTCTTCAGTAAAAACAAATAAAAAGAAATCTGGAGGTGAAAAAGCATGCATTTCCATGAATGGAATTGGCTTTTTTTGTTGCTATTATTCTACTCGCCCTTCATGCTATGATGTAAAAAATACAGGTAAAAATGTTTGTGTAAATTCAAGATTTGACCGATTTTCATGAAACCCTGCTGTTCTTTGAGGAAAATCAGACAATAAAACATGTCACGTAAACTAAAAAAGCGTTGTTCTTCTGATAGATTTTGATCAGCTGAGTCTGGCTTAAAACAGAAGCCCGCTGAATTGCATTCTGATCCTTGCTCAGAGCTATTTTCCAGCATGAGTTCTCCAAACACTGCTGGTGCTTCCATTCCTGAGGGCAGCGTTTGCATACACTCTGACACTGCTCAGGCCACCTTAGCTCACTCGCTCGCTTCCCTCTCTTGCTTCCTTCTCTCACTTGCAGGCATGACAGCAAAACTGTTCCCTCCCCTCACACTCGCCAGGGACAGAGCAAAACAGGGAGGGAGAGCTGTCAGCCACGGCTGGCTGTACCGCCACCCAATTACCCCTGAAATAATGCTTTGGCACCAAGGAGCTGCTACTGGCGGAGAAGGGGAAGCAGAGGAGGAGGAAGAGGTGGTGGCAGTGGAGGTTACTGCTGATGCATTGGTGGGTCGTGGTGGGCAAGGACACAGATGGCAGCAAAAGAGGAAGAAAAGCAGTAGGCAGAAGCAACCTCCAGGAAAGGGTAGGGTGGATAGGAGGAGGGTGACAGAGATGTGGAAGGGAGTCCTGCTTCTCCTCCTCCTCTCCTCAGGAGGATTAGTTGAAGCTTTACCTACATGAGGATTGAGACCCACCTATGTGGAGTCTAGTGCAAAGGAGTTGTATTAAAAATAAAATGTGTCTTTGTAGGCTCCACCAAGTCTCAAGAACATTCTCATTCTGAGAGCGGGAGTTCCTAGTCTCCTTCACACCTCCTTCCTCCCTTTTGAGCAACGCATAGCCCCAGCAGCTCATGCAAGGCAACTGATAAAGTCAGCAGAGAGCAGCAGCAGATGTCTGTATGTGTGTGAAGGAATAGAAGTGAAATTTGACTCAGTTCACATTTAACAACTTAGTTTGCACTTTCTGGAAAAATGATGAAAACTGAAACACGGCACATAACTCCTAAAGGTAAAGGTAAAAGCTAAAGGACCCCTGGATGGTTACATCCAGTCAAAGTTGACTCTGGGGTTGTGGTGCTCATCTCGCTTTCAGGCCTAGGGAGCCGGCATTTGTCCACAGACAGCTTTCCAGGTCATGTGGCCAGCATGACTAAACCGCTTCTGGCGCACAGAACACCGTGACGGAAGCCAGAGTGCACAGAAACAGTGTTTACCTTCCCTCTGCAGTGCTACCTATTTATCTACTTGCACTGGTGTGCTTTCGAACTGCTAGGTTGGCAGGAGCTGGGACGGAGCAACTGGAGCTCACCCCATTGTGGGCGATTCGAACTGCCGACCTTCTGTGGTTCAGACCACAGCACCACCCGCATCCCTACATACCTTTACATAACTCCTACACTGTGTAGCTCCCACGTCCATTTTCCAGAGTGACCCTAGGAGCCAATCCTCAGTGACTGACACCTCTGATTAGTTCCAGTCAGTACAAAGGTTGACAAGACTTTTTGCTCAGTAGATAAAAAGCTCCCCATTCACTCTGATTGGATGCTTGAGACAGAGACCCTGCTGGGACCAAGCTGTAGAAAGCATAACAGGTCTTCAGCCCCTCCATGACCCTGGACCACGGCACCTCTGCATGTTAGTGGAGAAAGTGCAAACAAGTGAGCTATAGCTTTGCCGAATGGCCTTGCCTCTCACCCCCTTGGTGGATGACAACCACCTATAGCTGGTGTGTGTGTCTGAAAGGAGTAGTGTTGGGATTGCTTATCTTGCAGGGAGCCTGCAGAAACAAACTCTCCACTGTACACGGTTTCGATCTAACTCATAGTGATGAGGAGGAAGGCAGCGCTGGGGCTGGGGAATGAAAAGGAAAGGAAGGAAATTGATCCATCAAATAATGGCCACTAATGGACTGAGTCAGGAAAGGCAACACACACCAAGTCACCAGCTCCCTGACTTCTTGAATATTCTCGTACTTCTGCTTTCTGCGATGATGCACTCTAGCTGTGATGCTAAAGAACTTTGGACAGGGAAAACAGTGGAAGGTTTCACTTGTGTGGTAGCAAATTTATTGCATGCAAGATAAGATATAGCCAGGTCTGCCAACTAATACAACGCCCAGTGAGCTTTCCTTATCCAGCTCCTTCTCTTAACTGCAGTAAGGAAAAGGCTTTTCATTTTTTTTAACAAAATAAAACCTCATACATCTTATGTTGCTTTTAATTATATATGTGCACCTAGACACATGGCTCTGAATCTGGCCCTTGGGTCTCCTCTCCCCAAAAGAAATCCCCTACTCTTCTGATTTTGAGTGGCTGGAATGTAGTGTCCTATAGCAGGTTAAGAGTCACATGTGTTGGCAGCCTGCAGTG